ATGCCAGCACCATTTGTTGAACATGTTTTCTTTTTTCCATTTTGTATTTTTAGCTTCCTTGTCAGAAATTGGGTGTTAATATGTGTGTGGGTTGATATTGGGGTCTTCGATTAGATTCCATTGGTCCACCTGTCTGTTTTTTATGCCAATACCAAGCTGGTTTCATTTTTACAGTGAGGGGTGGTGATGCCCACAGATGACAGAATTGTTTTAGCTATTCTGTTTTTTTTTCTTGTTTTTCCATATGAAGTTGAGTATTATTCTTTCAAGGTCTGTGAATAATTGTGCTGGGATTTTGATGGGGATTGCATTGAATCTATAGATTACTTTTGGTAGGATTGCCATTTTTACTATGTTGCCAGGAACATTCTAATACTCAAATTTTATATAAGCATAGAGTGGCCCTGGGCCCCAAACTCAAACACTACCCAGCTGATCTAAAATCTTCCAAGTTGAGGTAATAGCAAATAGAAACCCAAACATCCAGAAAACAAAGATGGGGCAGATACCCATACCAAAAGACATAACCAATGAATGACCTAACTCCAGCTGGTTAGGTACCATCACAAAACTACCAACAGCATGAAAAACCAAGACAATGTGTCTCTTCCAAAAATTAATACTCCTATAGTAATGTTCCCTGAGGAAAGCAACTAAGCTGGTTAGGCTGAAATTGCAATTTAATTACAACATTTGTCTCTTCCCTTTCTTCCTTCCAAGCCCTCCCATATACCCCTCCCCACTCTCCTTCACATCCATTGCCTCTTTTTCATTAGTTGTTATTGCATGCATATGTATTTGCATATATACATACATGCATACATACCATACATATTCCTAAATTTAATTTTGCTGAATCTATATAATGTCACATGTGTGTTATGTTTTCAGGGATGATCTTTGGCATTGAAAAACAAATTGGTGTGCTCTTCCTTGAGGAGGACCACTTCTCCTGAGCCCAATTGTACTCAGAAACTAAACAGAAACATTGAAGGTAAATGATGTCATAGCTCAAATGGACTTAAAAGACAACTGAAACTAGAATCTACAGCTCTAGAGAAGCCAGGTAACAAGGAGGACCCTAAGGGACACATGGATGGTCCTGGGAAGGGAAATTAGATGAGATCTACCGGGTAAACTGGGGGTGAGGGGTGTTAAGGGGAGGAGAGGGAGAGATGAGAACATGAGGGAACAGGATGGTCTAGGGGAAGGGGAGAGATGCAGTGGAAGAGCAATAAAAGAGATAATCTTAGTAGAAAGAGCCACTATGGGGTTGAGGGTGAAACCTGGTGTTAGGGTAATTCCCAAGAATCCACAAGGATGACCCCAGCTAAGACTCTTAGCAATAGTGGAGAGGATGTGTGAACTGGCCTACCCCTGTAAATAGATTAGTGGCTACCCCAACTGTCATCATAGAGCCTTCATCATCGGAGGCACTGATAATGATTCACGGGACTAGGCTCAAATATAGGTTAAATATAATTTATTTTGGGGAGAAGTCACTTACACAAGAAGCAGATGGCCACCGCAGGTTCCTGCTCTTAAGGATCCCCACAGGCTGCTTGCACCCGACCGGATGCAAGAGAGAGCCACCTGCCCAGACCCCCAGACCTAAACTCACTCTCCATCCTGTCCGCACCTGTGATCACGCCCAGTGCTACAGGTGCAGGCAGGGTGGATATCTCATTACATTAATCCACTAATTGATGGAAGCAGACACAGAGATCCACAACCAAGAACCAGGACAAGCTCTGAAAATCAGTCAAAGAGAGGGAAGAGGGAATATGTGAGCAAAGAAGGTTCAAGATCATGATGAAGAAATCTATAGAGGCAGCTAAACCAAGCTTGTGGAAACTCATAAACTCTAGACCTACAACTGTGGAGACTCCAAGGAACTGAACTAGGCCCTCTGTATGTGGGAGACAGTTGTGAAGCTTGGGCTATCTGAGGGGTCCCTGGCAGTAGGACCAGTTTCAATCTTTGGGGCATGAGCCAGCTTGTTGGAGGCCACTCCCTATGAGGGGATGCCATGTTCAGCCTCAACACATGGGAGAGGGCCCTGGCACTGCCCCAACCTATTGTGACCGACTTTGTTGAGTCCTCATGGGGGCCCTTACCTGTGAGGAGGAGTTGACTGGAGGAGTGGTCTGTGGGAGAGGCAAGGGGGGCAGGAGAAGGGATGAGAGGGAGAACTGTGGTTGGAATGTAAAATGAAATTTAAAAGAATAAATGAATTATAAAAAAGACATCTAAAAGCAAACCATCCAAACACTTCAGAGTATACATTCTTCTCAGTAACCCATACACTTTCTCTAAAATAAATCACATAAAGACAAAAACATGTCTTACTAAATATAGGAAAATTGCAATAATTTCTTACATTCTAGCTGATCACAGTGGAGTAAGACTACAAATCAACAAGAGAAACTATAGAACAGACACAAACTCGTAGAGATTAAATAACAAACTGATACTTTGAAGCAGGGTATCATGTAGTCCATATTAATCAATAACTCGTTATGTAGCTGAGGCTGTCCTTCAACTCCTGATCTTTCTGCTTCTTCCTCCTAAGA